GAGGAAGGAGAAGGGAGGAAGGAAGGGACAGAGGGAGGGAGGAAAGGGGAGAGAGGGAGGAAGGAGAAGGGAGGGAAAGAGGAAGAAGAAGGAAGGAAGGAAGGGACAGAGGGAGGGAGGAAAGGGGAGAGAGGGAGGAAGGAGAAGGGAGGGAAAGAGGAAGGAGAAGGGAGGTGAAAGGGAGGAAGGGAAGAGAAGGGAGGAAGAAAGGTGAAAGGGAGGGAGGGAGGAAAGGAGAGAGAGGGAGAATGGAGAAGGGAGGGTAAGAGGAAGGAGAAGGAAGGAAGGAAGGGACAGAGGGAGGGAGGAAAGGGGAGAGAGGGAGGAAGGAGAAGGGAGGGAAAGAGCAAGGAGAAGGAAGGAAGGGGGAGGGTGAAAGGGAGGGAGGGACGGAGGAAAGGGGAGAGAGGGAGAAGGTGGGAGGAAGGGAGGGGAAGGGAGGGAGAGGAAGGAGAAGGAAGGAAGGTGAAAGTGAGGAAAAGGGAGAGAGAGGGGGAGGGAGGGAGGTGGAAAGGTGAAGGAAGGGGGAGGAAAAGGGAGGGATGTAAAGGGAGGGAGGGAGAGCAGAAGGAAAAGGGAGAGAGGGAAGGAGGAAGGAAAAGGAAGGAAGGAAGGCAAAGATGGGAAGGGAGGGTGGAAAGAGGAGAGGAAGGAGATGAAATGAGGGGAGGAAGGGAAGGACAATGAGGAGAGAAAGAAGGAGCGAGGGTTGCACTGCTTCAAGGCCCAGCCTTGATGCAGGGCACTTAACCAACCTCCGATAAGCTCAACAGCCTCAGCAAAGGTGGATTCCTGGTCGATCCTTGGATGGGGGGCAACTAGGAGAGTTAAGGATTGTCTGCGAAATCCTACTCTTATTCCAGAAAAAGACATTCGCAAACCTTGCCATTCAAACCAAAGAAATCACCGGATCAATGAACCCGATAGGAACTGAGCTGGACTCAAAAAAGGGTTGAGGATAGCCCTTCATCCCAGGGTGCAGGGTCTTAATCCCCAGGGTCTTAATCCCCAATTCTCCTGGGACCCCAAACCCCAGTTCCCTGTTCTGACCTAGGCTTCCCGAGACGGTAAAACTCGCCCGCTTAGTCTCAAAAACCCTCTTTTTATTTCAACGGCTGTGAATTATGTTCATTCCCAGCCTGTAATGAGTCGCAAACAGTTTGTAAAAAGTCCGACAGAAGTCTGCCAAAGTCCTTCGGGATAAGGCTGATAAGCACCCACCTTTCTCTCCCTTGAAACACTGAAGACCTAATTGCCAATTAGTTTTGTAAGGCCACACGGAGCACAGAGTCAAAACGAAGCTTCAGAGTTTAAAACCGACCACAACGAACCAAGTTGCTTCCTGCAAAGGCTCACCTGCCTTTGCTCCTCCTTTATGTCTTATGGGAGGGGCCAATCCCCTCCAAGCTTTCCTCACGAGTCGCCCCTTTTGTCTTAACTGTTCTTGCCTTCTGGCAGCTCTGCGCATGCGCGCACTGGGAACAGGCTCCCCCTGTTCTTCTGCCTCGCTGATGTCCGACTCTAGAGGCTCCGGAGGCAGCACATAACTCCCAGATGGCCCTGTCCCCCTCTCTGCCTCCGACGCAGAGCCCTCGTCCGAGCCTTTCCCAGACTCCAGGACTGGCCTATGTCCCTCCCCAACCTCCTCACTCCCCGATTCTACTGCCAGCTCCACAGGCCACTGGCGGACCACAATAGGCTTGATTAAACCTGAATCTGCCCTTTTTTTCCTCCTCAGGGTGTCTCCTAACCATCATTCTCCTCATGAGGGCTTTGGATCCCTTGGTTTACGAGCAGGAGACCCTCCGCTACTTCTCTGCTTTGAAGGTCAGTTTCGGAGAGAGTCCGGTGTGACTCGCCCTTTAATCAAGCCTATTGTGGTCCGCCAGCGGCTTGAAGTGAGGAGGTTGGGGAGGAACATGGGCCAGTCCTGGAGTCTGGGGGAGGCTCGGATGCGGGCTCTGCGTCGGAGGCAGAGAGCGGGGCCGGAGCCATTTTGGAGTTACATGCTGCCTCCAGAGCCTCCGGAATCGGACATCAGCGAGGCAGAAGAACAGGGGGAGCCTGTTCCCAGTGCGTGCGTGCGCAGAGCTGCCAGAAGGCAAGAACAGTTAAGACAAAAGGGGCGACTTGGAAGTAAGGCTTGGAGATTGTTGTTTATTATTGTTTGTTTATTATATTTATATGCCGCCCTTTTCCCCTGAAGGGGACTCAGGGCGGCTCACAACTCAAACCAGGGAAGGGGGATACAGACAAAAAAATTAAAAAACGACACATAACAAACAGAGATGATTGGGGGGACATAAAAGAGGAGAAAATGGGCACGATCCTTTGCAGGAAGCAAC